TTTGCTAAATTGATTCAGTTTGAAATTGGAAATGTCTCAATAACTTTTATACACATATCCTTTTATCCCAATAATATTTGATATTTTCATAACCCAATTTAATCTTAATATTAGTAAAACTATTTTCGGAAATTTTTTTAAAAAACAGAATATTCATTTGTTTGCAGTTTTCTTTTTAACATAAAAAAAAACTATATCAAATATCAACCTAAAAAAAACTAGTCTCTCTCTCGCGACATCGTCTTCTCCGCATCTCTCTCTCGGTCGACTTTGTGTTCAAACTTTTCCAGCGAAGAAGAATAGCCGTCGTGGTCGACTTCGTGTTCATACTTTTTCTTTTTAATAAAAAAAATTGTAGGATTCGAAAAAATGCAAATTGTGTCACCATGTGACCTCGAGGTATGGATATGTGCGTTTTCGAACCAAGTGAGTTGTGGGTGTTTAATCGAACAATGAAGCAAACGAAAACATTATATTCATATATGTTTTCCGTTTTTAATCAAAAAATTGTAGGATTCAAAAAATTTTAAAATGTGTTTTTTCCAAAAAAAATTCAAAAAACGTTTGACAAAAAAACCTCAAAAATATTTTTCACGAAAAGAAGAAAATCAGGAAGGAGAATAATAGATTTAGGAAATATTAACCGAATATTACGCTTTTGGAAAGAAAATAACTCACAATTTAATGGTCCTAGATTTAGGGGATTAAAACTAACTTTGGTAGAATATCCTTTCTACCTTTTTGTAGAAGACAGAGTCATTGGTAGAAATAGTATTCTGTGGTTGGTAGTACTTAAGCAAAATCGTGGAATGTGCAATCTGCGATATCTAGAACTTGAACAATTAGTAGAATACTTCCTTCTACTATTCGTAGATTTATTCAAATTCGCAGAATACCTAATCTACTAGTAGATTCGACCATGGTAGAAGGAAAAATAAATAATTTATTGTCATAGTTTTTTTTGAAAAAAGAAACATAAATATGATACTATATGCCTTGTACATTACTCTTTTGTATTATCCTAATTTTATAAAATTATAAAAAACCATTTATTTGTAATTTTCAATATTAATCAAAGAGTAATGTAGGAAAAAATTGGCACAAAAAAAACAAAAGTTATTGGAACAAAACTAATTTCAATGTGAGTCAATTTAGCAAAATTCCCAAAAAACAATGTATTAAACCCAAAGAAGCATGTGTTCTTGATAACCAAATTGTACATCTCATTTTTTTTCTTAGTCTTGAATGACAAACTGTTGTTAGTGTTAGATTTTATTCTAATTCGGTTTTCTTATTATTCTTAAATGAAAAATCGTTGCTAGTATTGTGTGGTTTTTCAAACTCATGTTCAATTCCTCCATTAGTTAGATATTGTTCATTTTGGGTCCAGGAGTCAAAACTCGCACAGATTTGTTTTTGGGTTTCTTCTCAAAAACTTCATACTAATTAGAGTTTGACATCTCTTATATATTAGACAATTTTTGTCTAAATTTTCAATGTGGAACTCGGTTGATATCCCAACAGCTAGTGCTAGATTATTTTTAGTAAAGTTGTTTTTCTTTTTCTCATCACTTATTTAAAAAGATGCAAAAATTCATTAATAAAAGAAGAGATTGCCATACTAAAACCCAAAGAAAGATTCAGAATGTTTTTTTTTTTTTGTTAAATCACATATTGGCCCTAAATGGTAGTGGAGGAATTGGGGAATGTAGAGGATTTGAGGAATGTGGAGGAAAAAAAAATTACGTTACCACCAGTTGAGAAGAAAGAGGAATTCAGAGGAATCCATGAATTCACCAGATTTGGTTTTTAAATTATTTTTCTAAAAAAAACATTTATTTTAAATATAATAATTGTC